ATGTGTCAATGCTTAACCACCGAGCAACACCGGCCAGGCTGTATTTGTTTTTCTGTTTGGTTGTTTGGTTGGTTGTTGTTAATCCTTACCCAAGCATATTTTTTCCATTGATTTTTAGAGAGAGTGGAAGGGAGTGGAGAGTGAGAGGATGAGAGAGAGAGAGAGAGAGAGAGAGAGAGAGAGAGAGAGAAATCTATGTGAGAGAGACACATATTGGTTGCCTCCAGCATGCAGCCTGACGGGGGCCAGGGATGGAACCTGCAACTCAGGTATGTGCCCTTGACCAGGAATCGAACCCACGACCTTTCAATGCACAGATCAGTACTCTAACCACTGAGAGTGTGTGTGTGTGTGTGCGCGCGCGCGCGCTTTTGGTTAATCCTCACCGAAGGAAATTTTTCCGTTGATTTTAGAGAGTGGAAAGGAGAGAGGGAGGGAGGGAGGGAATTTTTAGAGAGAGTGGAAGGGAGTGGAGAGTGAGAGGATGAGAGAGAGAGAGAGAGAGAGAGAGAGAGAGAGAGAGAGAAATCTATGTGAGAGAGACACATATTGGTTGCCTCCAGCATGCAGCCTGACGGGGGCCAGGGATGGAACCTGCAACTCAGGTATGTGCCCTTGACCAGGAATCGAACCCACGACCTTTCAATGCACAGAGGATGACATTCCAACCAACTGAGCCACACTGGCCAGGGCACTTTGTGTGTGTGTGTTTTTAATCACACCCACTGGACAAAGTCCTTTCCCTGTAAATCTTTATTGAGCAGCTGAATGATGTTGGAAGATGAACTAACTTGGCAGAGATCATTAAAAATTATTGATTAGCAACCTGAACAAAGCTCAGTAATCTTATTATTGTGGTTACTTGGAAAGTTCATTTTCCCAAATTTTATAATGACTGTTTTATACTTTCTTTTATATTCCTCAAATCTTTGGAATCCTCAGATATATCAATACATAACCTCAGCAAGTGATCATTTCTTATCATATCATAGAGAAAATAAATCTATTATCCTCACTACTTTTTATTTATTTTATTTTATTTAAAAAATATATTTTATTCATTTTTTACAGAGAGGAAGGGAGAGGGATAGAGAGATAGAAACATCAATGAGAGAGAAACATTGATCAGCTGCCTCCTGCACGCCCTCTACTGGGGATGTGCCCGCAACTAAGGTACATGCCCTTGACCAGGATCGAACCTGGGACCCTTCAGTCCGCAGGCCGACGCTCTCTCCACTGAGCCAAACCGGTTAGGACCTCATTACTTTTTAAAAGAATTTTATTGAATTTATTGGGATGGCGTTGGTTAATACAATTCTGTAGGTTTCAGGTGTACAGTTCTATAATATGTCATCTGTATATTGTATTGTGTGTTCACCATATCCTCATATTTCTTACACCAAATTTACATGCTCCCCTTTTTTTAATTCCACCCTCTTCTTTTTTTTTTATATTTTATTGATTTTTTACAGAGAGAAAGGGAGAGAGACACAGAGTTAGAAACATCGATGAGAGAGAAACATCGATCAGCTGCCTCCTGCACACCCCCCCACTGGGGATGTGCCCGCAACCCAGGTACATGCCCTTGACCGGAATCGAACCTGGGACCCCTCAGTCCGCAGGCTGACGCTCTATCCACTGAGCCAAACCGGTTTCGGCCCACCCTCTTCTTATCATCTTATTATTTATTCCAACAGAGCTTTTCTCTTTTCTTGTCGAAGACTAATACTGTCACCTCTGTTCTAAATTTTATACCTCCTTCCTTCTCAGGGTCTTTTAATTATTATTTATTTTTCTGTCTTGAATCTTTAACTCCTCCATTTCTTACCATTTAAAAATGATATGGGCTTTCCAGTATTTATAGACTCTGTTCTTCTGTTACTATCCAATTTATATCATTCTTTTAAAAGCCCACATGTTGAAATAGTGTATAAATGCAATCTACATTTCATTTCACACTCTCCAACCACTCTTGTTTAGTTTCTGTCTTATCCACTATATCAAGAGTACTTATTAAAACCACCTATAATTTTTCTAAACAACTTTATTGAGGCATAATGATCGTACACCAATAATACATAGAGTACAGTTTGGTAAGTTTGGCCTATGTATACCTGTGAAACCATTCTCTTAATCAAAATACTGAACATATTTATTATTTGTTTCCTGGCGCCCTTTTGTAATCCTTTCTTCCTGCCCCATCCCTCACTCCAGGCCAGGGGTCGCCAACCTTTCAGACCTCACAGACCACCAGTGGTCTGCAGACCACCGGTCGGTGACTGCTGCTTCAGGCGATCACTCATCTAGTTTCGATCACTACAGATTTATTTGTGTTTCTAGAACTTTATATAAAAGGAATTATACAATATGTCTTTTTTGAGGTCAGGGTGGGAGGTGGGGGTGTGGGACTGGCTTCTTTTACTCAGCATAGTTATTTTGATAGTCATCTCTTGGAGTGTGTATCAACCATACCTTCTTTTATTACTAAGAAGTATTCTGTTGGATAGATATGCTGCAATTTGTTTACTCATATATTGGACATTTGGGTTGTTTCCAGTTTTTGGCTATCTATAATAATAAAAGAGTAATATGCTAATTAGGCCAGACGCCCTCTGGACGACCTTCCAGATGAAGCCAGGGCTGCGAGGGAGACGTGGGTCCCCGGTGCCTGCCGGTGGCTGGAGGGAAGCCAGGGTCCCGGGTACCAGAGGGAAGGAAGGCCTACTCTTGCACAGATTTTGTGCATCGGGCCTCTAGTTACAAATAAGGCTGTTAGAAACATTTGTATACTAGTATTTGTATGGCCTTAGCTTTTTTTTTTTTCTTGGCCAAATACTGAGGATTGGAATCAATAATATAGTAGGCCTATGTTTCTTTTTAGGAAACTGCCAACAACCTGTTTTCCAAAGACATTATATTTTATACTTCTTCCAGCAGTATATGAAAATTCTAGTTTTCTACATTCTCATCAATACTTGGTATGGTCATTCATGTAAAATATTTAAATTCTTATGGTCATTCTTTTAAAATTGTTGTCATACCAATAGAGGGTGTGTTGGTATCTCATTCTGATTTTAATTTGCATTTCTCTAATTACTAATGATGTTGAGTATCTTTTCATGCACTTACATGCTTTCAGCATATCTTATTTGGTGAAATATTTTTCCAAATTTTCCTCCCATTTTAAAAATTGGAATGTTTATTTTTATTACTGAGTTTTAAAATTTATTTTTTAATTAAAATATGTTTTTATTGATTTTTAGAGAGAGAGGAAGGGAGAGGGATAGAGAGATAGAAACCTCGATGAGAGAGAAATATCATTGATCGGCTGCCTCCTGCACTCCCCCTTCTGGAGCCTGCAACCCAGGCACGAGCCCTGACTAGAATTGAACCTTGATCTCTTGGTTCCCTGGTCAATGCTCAACCACTGAGCCACACCAGCTGGGTGAAATTTTCTATTTATTATACATACAATTCCTTTAATAGATTTGCAGACATTTTCTTCCAGTCTTTTCATATTGTAAAGAGTGTCTTTTAAAAGATCAGAAGTTTTTAAATTTAGGTGATGTCCATTTTGTTTATTTGTTCTTTTATAGATAACTAGAGGCCCAGTGCACCAAATTCGTGCACTGGTAGGGTCCCTAGTGGCTGCCAGCTGCTGGCCGGGGCCTCCCTTCCTCCCCCCCGGCTGTCCCTGCCCCCTGGTCAAACTCCTGGATAACTCTCGGTTGAGGGAACAATTTGCATACTATGCTTTTATTATATAGGATGCTTTTAGAGCTGTAGATAAGAAATATATGCTTAACCCATGTTAGATTATCTATGTTTTCTTATAGAAGTTTTATAATTTTAACATTTAAGCCTGTGCTTCATTCTGAGTTAAACTTTATTTATGTTGTGAGGTATGGGTAGAAGTTCTTTTTGGCATATGGACCAGCACCATTTTTAGAATCACTTTGCTTTCTCCATTGAATTGTCTTGGTACCTTTGTCAAAAATTAGTTGTCCATTTATGTGTGGGTCTGGTTTGGACTCTGTTTTTTCCCCTTGATATAGATGTTTATCATAGTGAGTATACCTCATTGCCTTGATAACTATAACTTTATAATGAATCTCGAAATTAGTGTTGGTCCGCCAACTTAGTTCTTTTTTCCCCCAAAGTTTGTCCTATTTTAGGTTCCTTTGCATTTCCATAGGAATTTTGTGTCAGTTTGACATTTCTACACAGTAGCTTGCTGGGATTTTGATTTTTCTCACTATAAAATAATCTATTCTCTCTATATAAAAGCCTAACTGACCGTCCGGCCGGTAGCTATGATGTGCAGTGACCACCAGGGGACATAGACGCTCTGACCAGTAGGTATGACGTGCCCTGACCACCAGGGGGCAGATGCTCAATGCAGGAGCTGCCAAGCTGTGATGACTTGGCAGCTATGATTCTTGGGTGAGGCACTTGAAACCAGAGAGGAGGGAGCCCGATTCCAGAGTGTGTCACTTGAGAACTGCCCTTTTGCAATCCAGTACCCTTTGGGGATGTCAGAGAGCCAGTTTCGGCTGATCCCCGCAGGCCAGGCTGAGGGACCTCTAGTTAGAATTATAAATGGTAACTCTGAAGGTTGCCTTAGCCTCATTTTGATTTATCTAAAAAAGTAGAGGAAGACAGCGAAGATACATCTCTTTATTTAAAAATTCTCTGCTTTGTTCATTGAAAAGCTATATAATTGTGTGTGTGTGTGTGTGTGTGTGTGTGTGTTTTAGTAAAGTCTAAAAATTATTCAAATGGTATAGCTGCCCTCTGGTGTTCACCGTATGATTCTCCCAACATTAGTGTCAACAGCCTTAAATTTTGGAGCTGAGTCAGTAGTGGCTTAGAATATTTTGTTCAGTTTTCATTCTATAGATGAAAAAAGCTCAGAGAGGGGGATGCCCATGTTCTGAATTTTCGTTTTTTTTCTTTCCTTCCTTCAAAAAATAAATTCATCCACCATCCATCATTTGAAATAGCACGATTCTCAGAAAAGAATCACTTAGATGAAAGTTTTATTTTACTATTATTATTTTTTTAAAATCCTCACTCGAGGATATTTTTCATTGATTTTTAGAGAGAGGGAAAGACAGAGAGAAACATTGATGTGAGAGAAACACATAGATTGGTTGTCTCCTGCACAAGCCCAGACCAGGTCCTGGATTGGGGAGGAACCTGCAACCGAGGTACGTGCCCTTGACTGAAATTGAACTTGGGACCTTTCAGTCTGCAGGCCGACGCTTTATTCACTGAGCCAAACTGGCTAGGGCAAAAGTTTTATTTTTTATAGTGGTACAATTTAATTTAAAATTGTAAGAGTTACTGACAAAACAAACTGTTAATTTGGAATGGAGTAGACTGTGTGTTATGCTTAGTGTGTTTTTGTATGTTTTTGAATTTTTTAAATAGATGTCTTATTAGCTACTAAAAATATTAACACATGAAAATAATTGAATAAAATTAGGAAAACACACTCAATTAGTAAGTTTCTAATTTTGGTCTCCATAATGCAAATTTCTCTTAAAGATGTATTTTCCCTAGTATGCAAAACTGTGGTATCTTAGTGTAATTTCTCACCACAACGAACTAGAGCTCTCAAAAAGAAGAGGTTTGGCTCAATGAATCTCTTTGTACTCTTAAATGAATGAAGACTCCAAAAAGTTTTTGTTGAGGCGGATTTTTTAATCTATTGATATTACCATATTATAAATTAAAACTGAATTAAAAATTATCCATTTAAAAATAATAAACTCAGTGCATAATGACACAATAACATTTTATGTTAAAATAACTATGTTTTCAAAATGTAGTAAGAAGAGTGCTATTGATTTATTACATTTAAAAAAATATTTTATTGATTTTTTATAGAGAGGAAGGGAGAGGGATATAGAGTTAGAAACATCGATGAGAGAGAAGCATCGATCAGCTGCTTACACCCCCTACTGGGGATGTGCCCGAAACCAAGGTACATGCCCTTGACCGGAATCGAACCCAGGATCCTTGAGTCCACAGGCCGATGCTCTATCCATTGAGTCAAACCAGTCAGGACGATTTATTACATTTTTGAAAACTTAATGTTTGACTTAATGGAAGACAGGTGGATTTTCTTCTTCTGAGTTCAGTCTCTGGTGGTTTGTACAAATTTACTTACTGTTAAAGAAAATGAGAGAGAATATGAATTTGGGAAATTTGAACTTGGAAATTAGATGTTGATGTTAAAGGATTATTGTTACTGTTTTTGGTATAGTAGTGCTATTATAGTTATATATATTCTAAAGAGTTCTTATTTTAGAAAACATAACTAATGCCATACGAAATGATCTGAGATTTGCTTCAAAATTAGCCAATGGATGTGTGTGCCTGCAAGTAAGCATGTGTGAAATAAGAAGGTCCATGAATTGATAATTGTTGAACCTGGGTGATAGGTATATGATGGTTCATTGTCCTATTTTGTCTTCTTTTGCTCATGTTTGGAATTTTTCATTATGTTAATGTTTTTGCTCATTCAGCTTTATGGTAAGTTTTAAGGAATCACTTATCTCTTTTGCAATATTGGAAGGAAAAAGAAAATATATAAACACTTAAACATGTAACTTATTTTTCTCACTACAGAATTTTATTTACAAAATGAAATAGTTCTGAAAACCAGAAAGTATAGAGCATAATATAATGAACACCTTGTACCAATCACCCAAGAGATAAAACTTACAGATGTGTTGTGTGCAATTGTTTAATAAAGGCATGTTAGAGGGCATTACTCTTCTGCTCGAAACTTGCCATTTCACCTAGTGTAAAAACAGTGATCTTGCTGTGCCCTAATATAAAGTAACATTCTTTTTAGCCTTACCAATAACTCTCGGGTTGTCGGACTCCTCGCTCAGCTGGAGAAGATCAGTACTGAACCTACAGAATCAGATACTGCCAGATATGTTACATCAAAAATTCTTCATCTGGCTCAAAGTCAAGGTGAGCTTTAACCTCTTGTTTTGGGAATGCTTTTTAAATTCTTTAACAAGTGGAGGCTAAGAATGTTTAAAATTTTGATAAATGATTTTCCATAAAAATTGAACTTTCTCAGATAGACTCAAGAAGTAGAAAATGGAATAGCTGTGAAAGAAATGAATTTTCAAAGCATTGTTTCTAACAAATGATTATGATTTTCCATATGGATGAATCCCGCCCTCCCCAATTTTCAAGTAATACCTGATTCCAGTGCTACTTGTACTAGAATATTGACAAAAGATGTCAGGTAGTAGAGAACATTGATTATTAGCATGGTCCCAAATAAAATATTAGTGAAATAAGTCTAATTATACATTGAAAGATGAATATCATTGCTAAAGTGCACTTATTTCAGGAATGTAAAATGTTTTAATATTAGGAAATATATCCTATAACATTATTTGAACAGGTCAAATGAAACCCATGTGATTATCTCAATAGATGCTAAAAAAAGATTCTAAAACCTGTACTTGATTTAAAACATACACCCACACAGCAAACCTGATTTTTCTTTTTTCAAATAAAGGTAAATCTGCAGCCACCTTAGTATTTAACATTTAAAATGGCCCTAGCTGTTTGGCTCAATGGATAGAGTGTTGGTCTGCAGACTAAAGGGTCCCAGGTTCGATTCCAGTCAAGGGCATGTGCCTGGGTTGTGAGCTCGATCCCCAGTCGGAGGCTTGTAGCAGGCAGCTGATCTATGATTCTCTCTCATTGATGTTTCTATCTCTCTCTACCTCTCCCTTCTCTCTGAAATCAATAAAAATATATTTAAAAAACCCCATTTTTAAAATGGTACTAGGTTTCTGTTTTCACAAATTTGATTAAATGTTTTCTAGTTCTGGTCATAAAGATGATAAAGAGGCCTTCCATTACCACTCCCTCCTCACCTCCAGTTCTGGTGCCTGTACTATGATAATGATTTTAGGATTACAGATGGACAGACAGGGATTCACCTAGTCCCTACTAGGAACTGTGCTGAAGGACAAGGAAAGTCTACAGAGAGTAGAATTAGCAGCATCAGAGGGAAGATCATGTAAAACCAATTTAGAATGTTTACCGAACCAATGGGTACTTGTTTATTTTATGTTAGCTGTGTAATAAAACGATATATACTTTTTAAAATGTTTTAGAAGATATATATATTTTCACTTTTCAGAAAAAATAAGGAGGGAAATGACAGCCAAAGGTTCTACAGGAATGGAAGTTCTGCTCTCAACATTAGAGGTAAAGTATTTGCAGGCTTTAATTGTGTAACTGTTAGTATCCATCAGCACCGAAGAAAAATAGCATATGAAGGATAAAATTTTTATCCTAGAGGTAAAGCCAGTGAATAGAAGTTTGTTTTATGTTTTAGATTAACATTTGGGATGGTGATATAAACATTCTAATATATATGAGGTAAACCTCTAAGTATATTACCCTATGATAATAATGATAACCACATTTTAAATCTTTACATGCTATTCTAATTGGTAATAGAAATTAAAGCATTAGCTGGAAATAAGTCTAGCTTAATATAAATGATTGGCATTGGAAATCCTAATTTATTGTGTTATGTCAGCTGATGTATATGTGATTTAGTTTACTACATATATTGGTTGGATAACTATATTATCTTGGTAATAATTAAATGTCTATGCCAGTGTGAAAGTTTTGGGTGGATTAGCTGGATATATTCAGAATCATTATTTTATATTTTATTAAGAACAAAGGGTAGGTACCATTGTATAGCTTGAACTTACATAATGTTATATCTCAAATTATATTTCAAAATAGCTGGAAAAAAAAGAACAGGGTGTGATTTTATGTTTTTGATAGGAATTACTTCCTGTCAAAAGTGACGTAAAGTTTTTGTTTTATTCTAAATTGATCTGTCAGTTTAAAGCAGTCTCGATAAAAATACTAACTTTTTCCCCCTATAGTTCAGTGGGAAAATAAGCAAGAATAGAAAGGATATTTCTGAAAAATAAAAGAGAAAGGACTAGCCCCACCAAATATCAGAGAACATTAGAAACTTCAGTAATTGAGGTAGTTTAGAAAGTGTGGGTGGGAACTAGATAGACATCAGTGGAATAGAATAGAAAAATCCACACTAAGTTAAAAATGCTTATGGGAATTTAATACTACTTAATCAATGGTAGCATTTCAGATCAGTGAGGGGTTGGGGGATTGCTTAATAAGTGGAACTGGGACAAATTGGTAGCCGTGCAGAAGAGTATAATGTTAGATCCTTACTTCCTACACCAAAATAAATTCCATAGCAAACAAATATTTAAGCATGGAAACAAAACCCAGAATACTCGAGAAAGTAATGAGAAGAATTTTTAATAATCTTAGCGCAGGGAAGGCTTTTCTAAGTATAACAAACAAACAAAAACAGGAGCCATAAAAGAAAAGATTGATAAATTCAACTATATTAACAAAAATGCATTGGGAAAAAACATTATAGACACTTGGCAAACTGAAGAAAAAAGATTTCAACTCATATAATTTCTTTAACATATAAAGAACTTCCACAGATTCATAAGGGAAGAAGTCTACCCAATAGAAAAATGTGTGAAGGTTATGAACAGACCGTTCCCAGAAAAAGAAACACAAATTGCACTTGAGATAGAGCATCATTGCTTTTTCTCCCCATTTGCTCATGTCACAAATTATTGAGGTCAGCAGAGGTGGGAGGTGATGAATTACATTTGGGAGCTTGTCTAGATAAGGCCTAAAGATAGCAGTGCCACTTCCATTCAGGTTCCAATAGCCTGAGCTCAGTCACATGGCTCAAACTCTATTACAAAAGGGCTGGGAAATATGGTGTAGCTCTGTACCTAGGAAGACGATGAAATCAGTTCGCTGAACACAGTCCATTCTTCTCTTTAACAAACATCTGTCCTTCTCATGCCAGATCCCCCCGTAATGAGACAGTGGTCCAGTTAATACTTCCAATGCTAAAACAAGGGTCTCTGGTTATGTACCGTTCTCCATCTGGTCTGGATGGAGCTTTTTGGTTCTGTCAGTCTGTGAGCTAAAATATGAAGTAGAGACACTCATTTCCTTTTGGAAAGAGGAAGAGTAAGAGTCCCATGCCAGTTACTGGTGCACAATAATTCTGAGATTCCTCTGTATAACACTGTAAAATTCTCCACGTTGGGGGTGTGGTGGTTCCTTGAATAGGCCATGCTTCTGCTC